AGAGGAGATCATCTTGGGCTCATTTGGGCAGATTAATTGAAAGGTGTTGAGATGTCATTCCCTAGCTTAGAGGACTTTATTCGACACTGTATGGCTGTGTTTTCCTTTGGAGGGACTTTGGTCTTCTGGGGGTGTGGGGAGCAATAATGAATCTGAGCATGGGAACCAAAGGAGTTCCGGCCAAAAGCCTGATCTCCTCCCGCAGTGTTCAGCTTGGAAGCTGCAGTGTGGAGCTAGGAGGGATCCTGGAATGGGAGTCGGGAGACCGGTGGGTGCTGACCAGCTGGGCACTTAGCTCAAGTCTTCTCCTCCCTAATCCTCTGATTTCTTACCTGCAAATTAAGGAGACTGGGCTAAATGAGCGGTACTCCATGGGGGTGCTACTACCCCCAGGCACTTTCTGGAAATGTGTGAGGACATTTTTGGTTATCATAATGACTAGGGATTGCTACTGGCACCGATCGGGTGGGGTCAGGGACACTAGACATCTTCCTGTGGGCGGGGCAGCTTTACCCAACGAAGAATTGTCCTGTGACCGGTGTGGTGTCCAGGATATTCATGTGGTAAAAATCCCGATTGTACTGAATCTATAGCCTAACTCTGTTTTACATGTAAGCGCAAACCTTTTTTTTTTTTTTCCATGGTATTAATACCTGTTGAATTTTACAGGAATGCAATTACCATGAGAGTTGAGGGGTGATTTGTTTCTTTAGGAATTATTGGTCACTCTTCTGGGAAAACACATAACCAATGACAATGCAGAGCCTGCATTTGAATGGCCAGTGTACCTGCATCAGTCTGACTTTCAAAAATTATGCAAGTAGATTAATTTTATATATACATAGATTATAGTTTCTGTGGATTTTGTTTCAGGATGGTCGGGGGCATTGCAAAATATTTGTTGTGAAAAGGGTGCATGAGGTCTGATTGGGCTAAAAAGCACTGGTCTAAAGATCCCCAAAGAGCCTTTTTAGCTCTGACATCCTCTGAGTGTGAGCAGAGAGGAGACTCACTTGGTGTGAATGATGGAAAGCATGCAGCCGTGGGAATGGATCAAGGCAAGGATTAATGTCCCCAAATTGAGCAGAGTTTGCTGCTGACAGCGCCCACTGCCGCACAACCCTGGTACTGAGGCGAAGTCCTTGATTTTGGACTCTGTGTCCAAATGGGATTCAGGATCGGAATGTCCTAGTTACATACACAGCCACGTGCATCTTTTACTGTCGGCAGGAGGTCTGACTCCATGGGCAACTGTTGTACGTGGAAGCTTACCTCCCCTCCTCTCTGTAATCCTTCCTCATGCCCCTTTCTCATGATGTAATTTTAGTAGAAGTAAACTTGAACAGCCCAAAATTATATAATTAATTACATTCAGCTTCAATTGCAATCACTAATTGATCCAAGCCTGCTAGCACAACACTTTCATTACTTGGCACACAATTATTGAGTGCCTACCTTGTGCTGGGAATAACATAGGAAATGGTCAATTTTTCCTGAGGAGAGGGGTTAGAGGGGGGTTAGGGTTGTCAAGACAGGCCCGCTACGGACAAGGGGTAGTGGCCAAGGCTTTGCTGGGGACGTGGCAGGTGGGTACAACCCACTGGCCTTCTAGTTCAGTTGTGAATGTTCATAGGCTAAAAATCTCACAATGGCCATGCTGGGATCAGGCAGGCTGGTTTGGGCATCGGATGTCACACGTTGTGCTCTAGGTCTCTTTGGTTTTCTTTTGACTGTTGAATAGTAATTAGTTGCATCACCTCACTGGTCTCCCAACTCCTAACCGTTTCTCTGTAATCAAAGGCCTCGCTACTCAAACCTGAATCCGTATTCTTGTTAACTGCAAACTCTGGTTCGGCAGGTCTGGGTGGGGCCTGAGGTCCTGCATTTCCAACAAGCCCCCAGGTGATGCTGATGCTGCCAGTCTAGGGACCACACTTTGAGTCGCAAGGTGCCAGGATCATCAGATTACCCTCCTTTCAGGTGCTGACATTCCTTGAGGGAGAAGCCAAAGCAAAGTTATGACACCTAACTGCAGTCAGGGGTCTCCCAGAGCGGACAATTACTCTCCAGTTGCACTGGGGTTACTTCCTCCTTGTCCGCTGAGTTTCTTTATGGGGCATGTGTTCTTATTTCTCCTGGTAGTGGCTGTATTAAGTAGCTCACTAGGTGAGTTCAGAGGTGGTAACAAAGGTGACACGTCCCAGAGGTTGTTAGGCATTTGTGAAGTGATTTATTCACCGAATACTTCCTGTCCACCTTGGAGGAGCTGGGTCCTATAGAAAAAGGAGAGACAGAGGTAAAAAGAAAGATATCCTTTGGGGTGGGAAAGGCAGGCAGGCAAACCAACACATGGTCTTACAAAGTGATCAGTACCCCGTGTGGAGCAAGCTGTGTGGCGCTCTGTTCCAGGGGACGCTAAGGACCAGCTGTGCCCTGGCGTCAGGGCGATGGTACGTCCCCTTTGCCAGGGATGCGAGCAGCCCGGCCCACTTGGGAACCTGAGTCGGAGGGTCATCTGGGAACCAGCTGGTCAAGTGGAAAGCCTCCACTCCCAGAGTTCTTTACCTCAGCCTCCTTCCACTCGCCTCTGCATTTCTCCTTGTACTGCACCCCTCCTCCTCAGTTTCCAGTAACACCCCGTTGCTGGGCAATCAAAAAGGGAAAGTGGTGTTAGCCACTGGCTGTTTCTCAAAGAGGAAGAGCTGTAATCATGTCTGTTGTCGTTGCAGCAGGTCTGAGAATACCCTGAGCTGTGGGACCGCCTTCTCCACCTGCCTCAGCTCCCCAAACAATGCTCCACAGCCATGTTCTACCTCTCTCACAAAGGAGGCAGGGGTCAGGAAGGCCACTGGGTCTCTGCAATTCAGCCTGAAGCCCATTCATCCAGGAGGGAGAGCTTTCATCATAGTCAGTTCTCCCCCGTTTCTGAGTTCTGAGGGTTTCCATGGGGCCAAAGCATCCACAGGGACCAACGTGCCCCTGATGCTGTCTGACCATGCAGGCACTCGCTGGGCTGGACCAGTCCTCGGCTACTGCTTACCTTTCCTGGAGACATTTCCCCTGTGAGCCTCTAACACCATGTTTGCCCGAATGACCCTCATTCCTCTCTTCTCCACCCTCTCAGGGCAACTTTGTCGTGACTTCTGGGTACAGCAATCACCAGACAGACCACTGCCCTGAGCCACACTGGGGCACAAGGAAGCGCTGAGACCGTAAAAGTAGAGACACTAGGTGACCATTCTCCAGTCCAGAGGCAGCTCTACCTAGGAAATGCTCACAGGTGTGCTCTGACCACACACCCTTCTGGACTTCTGAGACCTAAAATAGGAGCGAGGCAGAGGATGCAGGGCTCCTTCTCAGGGACCCAGTGATGCCTCAGCTTTCATCAAGTTCCTCTATCTCCCCTCTTACCACCTCTGGGGAAAAATTTTTTTTGTAGCTGGGGTCGGATTGGGGGAAGTGTTGGAGGGTGCAGGGGGAAGAGAGAATCTTGTTCTTTACTCCTAATGTTTTTCTCCCAAATCCTTTGCTTAAATTTTGAGCCTATTCCATCCCCTAAAGAAAAATCCAGATAGCTAGCTTTCTGAATCAAAAGCTAGTAAACGCCGCCCCGCCCCCCACTGCCATTTTGCAGTCTTATCTCTTCCCAGCCAATAAAAGGGAGAAGCCTGGTTGCTGCTTAATGGTGGGGATGGGGAAAAGGGCAGTGAACAGGAAATGGGGAGGGGAGGATCCCAGCACTGAAGAGTGCAAAAATCTTAATCTGTCACAATATACCGAGTCTTCCATTTGGTAAAGGATGTATAATGAGATACTTCTGATCTTTTAGTTCTCTTTTGGCTTGCAGGACCAGCCCGCTGCCAAAGGACGCCTCTCCCTTCCTTTGGCCCTGTTTCTCCCCCAGAATACATGCCTGCAGGTTTCCCTGGGCTCACTGGAGCTCCGGTGGTGAGGCAGGAATGTGAAAGTTCACTCAGTGGGAATTTTTTTTTCTTTTCTTTTCTTTTCTTTTAAAAAATTTATTTTTGGCTGTGTTGGGTCTTCGTTGCTGCACGTGGGCTTTCTTTAGTTGCGGTGAGCAGGGGCTACTCTTCGTTGTGGTGTGTGGGCTTCTCATCGCAGTGGCTTCTCTTATTGTGGAGCACGGGCTCTAGGCGTGCGAGCTTCAGTAGTTGCGGCGCGTGGGCTCAGTAGTTGTGGCTCGCGGGCTCTAGAGCGCAGGCTCAGTAGTTGTGGTGCACGGGCTTAGTTGTTCTGCGGCATGTGGGATCTTCCCAGACCAGGGTGCAAACCCGTGTCCCCTGCATTGGCAGATGGATTCTTAACCACTGCGCCACTAGGGAAGTCCCTTCTTTTTTGACTTACAGTGATTTTGAAGTTTAGGCATTCTCTGTCTTTCAGCCATGCTGAGGGTGTGGTTTTTGTGTAGCTTTAATTTTTCTTCTTGTTCTCTGTTGTTTCTGGAGGAAATCTGGGGAGACAGACATGGGTAGCCACCACTGTCTCAGTAAAATGGAAGGGAGAGGCATCCTCTGGAAGGTGGGTGGCAAAGGGGATAAGAAGCAAAAAGAACCATTTAAGATCCCACAAGATAGTAGGTGATCAACAAAAGTTTGTTTGCATGGAATTTGCCAGAAAGAGCTGGATTAATTCTGGCTCTGCTTTCTACCAGCTGTGTGAGTCCTTGGACACGTCATTTACCTTTCTATTCTTCCGTATCTTCCTCTATAATACAAAAATAATAAAGATACCAACTTCCTACCTCTTAGTGTTATGAGGATTGAATGGGAAGAGGCTTGGGGCATACTAGGCACTTAATAACATTAGCTATTATTATCATTACTACTACTACTATTATTATTATTCATTCACTATCTCAAAGAAACTCATCCGTGACAAGCATAAGCTCTGATAACAGTGGTTTAAGAAGACATGTTTCAACATTAAACATTTTCCCTTTAATTCTCTTAGGAAGCAGCAGTAACAAGTTTCCAGTTTTGGTTTCTGATCCTGTTTAAGTTCCTAGTCCATTGCCTTGCATATAGTAAGTATGTACTCAGTAAATACTTGTTGAATGAATGATACTCCATATTTTCAACTATAACAAAAATAATGGGGCCATGTTTTTTTGTTTTTGTTTGTTTTTTATTTTATTTATTTATTATTTTTGGCTGCGTTGGGTCTTCGTTGCTGCGCGCGGGCTTTCTCTAGTTGCGGTGAGCAGGGGCTACTCTTTGTTGTGGTGCGCGGGGGCTACTCTTCTTTGCGGTGCGCGGGCTTCTCATTGCAGTGGCTTCTTTTGTTGCGGAGCATGGGTTCTAGGCACACGGGCTTCAGTAGTTGTGGCACGCGGGCTCAGTAGTTGTGACTCGCAGGCTCTAGAGCGCAGGCTCAGTAGTTGTGACGCATGGGCTGCGGCATGTGGGATCTTCCCGGACCAGGGCCCGAACCCGTGTTCCCTGCATTAGCAGGCGGATTCTTAACCACTGTGCCACCAGGGAAGTCCCTGGGGCCATGTTTTAAATCATTTCTCTCTCTCTTCCTCTCTCTCTCTCTCTCTCACACACACACACACACACACACACACTCAGGCACACCCCGTTTTAAAACAGAGTTCAACAAGGCTTTAAGCAGACATAGAATATATATTAGTTTTCTATTGCTGTGTAACAATATCACAGACTTAGTCACTTCCAACAGCACACATTTCTCTCACAGTTTCTGTAGGTCAGGAGTCCCACATCTTAGCTGGGTCCTCTGCCCAGGGTCTCACAAGGTTGTGATCAAGGCTGAACACAGAGTCAGCCTGGTTGTGTTCTTTTCTGAGGCTTGAGACCCTCTTTCAAGTTCAATGAGGTTGTTGGCAGAATTCAGGTCCTTGTGGTTGTAGCATAGAGGCCCTCAGCTCTCAAAGGCTGCCCCTTTCCACAGGCAGTTCACAACATGGCTTTGCTTCTTCAAGGCCAGCAGGAGAGTATGACTCTAACCTCAGGAAGGACCTAGTCCCTCTTTTAAGGGCTCACCTGATTAAGCCAGGCCCACCCAGGATAAGCTCCATTTTGGTTATCTCCAACTCAAGGATGCTGCAAAATCCTTCCACCTTTGCCAAGTAACATGACCAAATCACGGAGTGGCATCCCATCATATTCAGTCTCACATTTAAAGGGAGGGGATTACACAAGATGTATAGGGTTGTGTGTTGGAGTTGAGGGGGTGGGAGTCTCAGGGGCCCTCTTAGAATTCCGTCTATCACAGAACATCTCTTTCAGCTCAGTAGATATCCTTACAAGTAGAAACTCCAAACTGGGTTTCTACGTTCGAGTTGATATAAACTCAAAGAAGGTGGGGACCTTATTGAGGGCAGTCCCTGACTAAAGCACCATAAGGTCAATGACCGTAGTAGTTTCTGTATGCCAGGTGCTCTTCAGTACTTTAACATCCTTTATTCTAATTCTCACAACTACTGCATTTTACAGAGGGGCCTGGGATATGAACCAGTGTGTTTTGACTCTGGGGCCTGCTCTAACTCCTGTCCTAAATTGAATTTAGAAAAATATGCAGTGACAAACAAATGCATGATAAGGGATTTAAAATGGTGATAGTGACGGCAAGTTTTATGCATGTGCTGCACGTTCTCTCTCTCTCTTCTGCTCTCTGACATTAAAGGCTTGGTTACTCAAGGCCACAGTTACAGGATGTTTAAGTAAACAGTCCCCCCTTCCCCACTCTTTTTTTGTTTTTTCAAGACAAGAAAATGGAACAGGACATCAGGGAAGGAGGCTTCACGGCGTCTCAGAGCAGCTGACTGGCCTGTGCAGAGGCTGTGCGGCCACCCGGCCCAGCCCCCTCCTGCTGTCATGGCTGGGGGACCCTCTGTGTTGCTGTAACCACGAGCGGCTCCTCCCTGGTCGCCAGGACGTCCCTGCCCCGTGTGTGTCTGGAATAGGCACTTAGATCAACGCTGACTCTGGAGCCCGTCCCTGGGTCCTGCAGAAGGGGCAAGGTCAGCCAGACGGGGCTTGTCACTGTCTCCCTCCCCTTCCCATGCCACCGTCTCCCCAGAAACCAAAGCTCAGCTTTTGGTCTCCCACAACCTCTCGTGACCCCACCCGAATTGGCTTTCCTGCCTTCTGCTTTGCGGAGTATAACTGTAGTGCTTGTACCTGCTCACCAGGGGTCGCAAAGTCCTGGCTCGCTTACCCCAGCTGGGTGGGTACCATTTCTGAGTCCAGGGGCCAAGGGAATTTACCCACGTACACCTGGTGTTTGTATATTTATCTAATAGGAATCTTTTTTTTTGCTCCTGTCAAGAAATAACTAGCTCTCCTATTTTATTTTTTTTCTAGACACATGCAGCTGTGTCTTTTATGTATTTCTTCCGAGTATATAGAAGAAATAGGCAACACTTTTCCACTCAGAAAGTCATTCCACAAGGTTTGGATAGGGCTAAACACCCTCCACCCCCTCCCCGCTCCCATAAGCTCAGGAGTGGGAACAACTCAGGCCTCGCCAATCAGATCATTTTGTTATTCTGGCCACAGCCATTGGATAAGGGATGGTTTCATGGGTGGTGCTGGACCAATCAGAGTGCTCCCTGAGACTTTCCTATTCCAGATTTCTGGGAGGAGAGCTCTTCTTTCTGAGGCTAAGCTGGACTCTGGTTGCTGGCAGCTGTTCTTAGCCTAGAAAAGCTCTAGAGAAAGTTTGTATGAGAAATGGAAATACAGGCAGAACCCTAGTGTTATTGATTGAGCTCCTGGATCCCCCTATGCCAGAAGCCTTCATACTGCTTCACTTTGGGGTTACATATACACACCAACCACACACACACACCTTTTTTTTTTTTTTTTTTTTTTATGTTGGGTTCATCTGGGATTCTGTCACATTTGACTGGAGAGTCCTTATACAAGAACCAACATTCCGGAAATTTCTACCATGTGCCAGGCACTGTGATATGCATCTTAAATACATTATCTGTTTTAATCTTCTGTTTAAGGGCCTTGCATGGTAGGCACGATTACCTCAGTCTTACAAACTGGAAAAGGGAGTCTCAGAATAGGTAAGTAAATTTCTCATGAGCATACAGCAAGCGGCAGAGCAGAAATCTGTGCTTTCTGTCCTGAACTTCTATACTACTTACCATCTCTGCTGTTCATTGGCATTTGGGCTCATATCACTTAATAGCATTATTTCATTTCTCCATGGCCTTACATCTGACTAAACCACTTCGATTGTAAGATCCTTGATGGCAGGGATTGTGATATGTTTGCTGGCTCCACTGTCATCACCACTACACAGGCCCATAGCACCCAGCATCAGGTGAGGCATATCATAGATCTTGAACAAACCCTTGCTGAGCTCATGACGTGCCCATGGCACTTCACAAAAGGCTTGCCATAGCCCGAATCGTGGGAGACGAGACATGGGGCAGAGTGTGCAGTCACATCTGCTGAGCTAAACATGCTTTTTGCAATCACTACAACCAGTTCTCCCCAGGAGCTGACCCTGGTGAGTCTCCATCTTTCATTCATTCAATATCCATCCATTCTTACATTCGACAAACATGTTCTGAACATTTATCGTATACCAAACATGTTGTAAGACTCAGGATACTAAGTGAATAAGACATGGCTCCTGCCCTCAGAGATCTTATTTGTAACTGCCTTTTAATTACCCTGCAGCAAATTTTCCAAACCATTAGCAAGTTGCTGTTAGAATTGTTGACCAGCTCTCTGGATTGTTCATCACTGGGGCTCAAGCATTGTCCAGGAGGGGAACATCAGCCCCCATATTGGTCTTTGTCAACCAACTTAGCCCCACTTCCACCAACAAGGCTGCCATAATGTACAACTCCAGGGGGCACCATTCACATAAACTAATGACATTCTCAGAAGTTGAGCAATGCACAGCCTGTACAGCTATACACGGCAGCCTTGATAACTCAAACAGGACCCATTAATGATAGCCCTTCCCGTTCACAGTCACATTTGTGAAGCACTTTACAGTTTACAAGGAATTTCACCTCCATTATGTCAGTTGAACCGAGAAATTCTGTTTTGGTTCCCATAATGCATTCTCTCTCCTCTGACCTTCACCCATGGGATTCTCTGTTTGTTCCATGAGCTCCCCATAGCCACGCCCTCTCAGATGGTGACAGTCCAACTGAACTGGTGACAATTACCAAGCACCAAGTCACATTACCGGCCCCAGGCTTTCTTCCACCCAACAGCACCTACCTGGGATTAGCAGTGGCCACAGCTTGGCAGAGGTGACTGTGCTGGTGATTACGAATGCATTTCTTATTTGTCTTTTGAGCCCTGAAATCCTGTCAGTGAGGAGAAGCGATAATAACATGTTATTAAGTTCTTTCTGGGTAATGTAATTCAGGAGTCAGGAGGCATTTTGGTCATTTATGTCTTTGAAAAGCTTAGAATAATTTTCAGTGTCATTATCCCCCATTTTAAGCCAGGCTCTAATATATAAATATAGATCTGGCCACTCCTGTGGGTATATATAGATACACATGTACTCTTAGATGTGCACATATGATGTGTATATACGCATGTACACAAAACACAGGATGTGGGCAGATATGTGTAGAGTCAACAGAAACTTCCAGTTATTTATAGATCTATGTATATGCATAATAACTCCTCCTTTTAGGATCATGGCTGCTATAAGGTTCTATCCAGGTTTTCAGGAATTAAATTTTATTCCTAGCTTCTCCCTTGACATGTTGCAGAATTTCCATTTTTGCTCACCATTATAATAATGAAAGGAAGAACTCCGTTTACAAATACACCTCCAAGTTGTGCAGTGCCAACGTATAGGGACATTTCCGTTGCCCAGTCCTCTCCATCACACCGCCTTTCCAAGTTATGGTTCCCAGTAAGCTTCTTAGAGCTTTTGATTCCATCAGAAAATGTCTTTCTACTAACTGCCAATTATTTGCTGATTTTCCCCTAACACCTTGTACCTGGTGTTACAGAAAAGGTGCATCTATGGTATGTGCTAATTGTACTTGCTAATGGAGTTGGTGCTTGTTTATAGACTGGAATTTCGAAACTGGAAGGAATGTGAGATTGTATGAGTTGGCTCCCTCTTTGCACAATGAGGAAGGGGATGGTCAGAGCGGGCAGTAACTAGTCCCCGGTTCCTGAGAGTCAGTGGCAAAGCCAGGATGAGAACGCATGTCTCCTGGTCCTCCAGCCAAAGCTCTTTCTGGTAATGTGTTTCAGCCCTCATGGACCACTTGGCCCCACTCTAAGTGTGCTCTTCCTACATTTCTTGTTGAGCACAGTGATGGGGACTGTAGACGGGGTCCTCCACAGTCTCGGTGCAGTCCTAATAAGCTCTTATCAAGGCAGTCACAGTGCAGTGGGAAAAACACGAAGACTAAAAGCTCAGTTTCTAACTGCAGCTTTGCCAAATGGCCCTGGCCAAGTCTCAGATGCTCTGTGCTCATTTAGTTACCAGTAAATTGGAAATAGTAATAGTATTGAACCCTTACAGTTGTTGTAAATTAATACACATATAAAGTGCCTGACATACCTTATGTGTTGGCTCTTACTGCTGACCCTCATCTGCCTACAGCATTTTCATCTTGTCCTCACTAAACTCTTCATCTCCAGTTTAGACACTGAACTTTTTTCAATTGAAATATAGTTGACTAAACACTTAACTCTTAACAAGACTTGTGACCTAGTATTTCCCATCTACAGCTTTACCTCCTTTAAGGTAGTTTCATCCACTCCCATTGCTCCCCAAATTTACGTCTTCTGGTCCCGTTTACATGAAAGTCCCACAGGTCTTATATTAGCTTCATTCATTGATTTAGTCATATAGATATTTACCGAGTGCCTGTTATGTGCCAATAACTTGCTAGGTGCTAGGGATTTAGCAATAAATAAAATATCTTCAAATCCTTGTCTTCACGGAGCTTATAATCCTAGTGGGGGTGGTGGTGGACAGTATCTCAAGTCATGATACGTGCTGTGACAAGAGAGCAGGAAAAGGGGACAGGGAGTTCTGGAGAGAGGGTAGACGTTACTATTTAAATGAGAAACGCCTCCTTGATGAGATGGCGTTTGAACACCAAGGAGATAAGGGACCAGCAGCTTGGCTATCTAGGAGATTATTCCAGGCTGAGGGACCAGCAAGTACCAAAATCCCTGAGGCTGGAATGTGCTTGGTCTGTTTGAGGTACAGGAAGCCTGTACGGCTGGAGTAGAGTATATGAAAGGGTAGTAGTAGAGATAAGATTGGAGAAGTACTTCCATCTAAAAAAAGCATAGTTACATAAAATAATGCAAATGAGAAGATAGCCACCCCCTCCCCCAAGAGGAAAGACCCAAAGTTTCATCAGTCATTGTGTCCATCTCTGACTGATGTTTTTCTCCCTTCTACTTCTCTCATCATCTCATTTGATATTCTAAAGACTAAATTAGAAGATTAGCTGCCACTAACACTCCTGTATAAAATAATAGGGGAAAGAAAGAGGAAGAAAAGACCTAATAAAACAAGGAAGAATATATGCATATTTACTACATTTTTGCAACCGGCCTCTGTTGATTATTGTAACTTCCTTCTTCTGCCATCTATCCCTTGTTCCTTTTGTTCTCAGCCAGCATTCAGCTGTTCAGGGTTCTCTATCTGGTAGAATGACCCAAGCCTTTCTTCCTGAAGGCTGTGCTCTCTTGGTGGTTCTTCTCGTATTGCTGTAGTTTTCCATTAACTTTTACTAAAGGACATAGATATACAGAAAGCTATAGGAACCCAATGTTCAAAATTAGTACCATTAATTGTGGGACAACTAGACATCATTTGCCTGCAGATGTGATATATAAGTTCAATAGGAAATTCAAAGCATCCTTTTAAAGTATTTTGACTTTATGTGTTAAATCTGAATCAAACCAAGCTTTTAGATTACGACTATTTGCATTTGTCAAAACACATAGAACTGTAAAGTAAAAAACATGATGTTTTACAGATATAAATTATACCTCAATAAATACGGCTTTAAGCAACCCAAGCCTTGGACTTGAGAAGAAGCAAAGATGGCGGAGTGAGGTGCCGAGGCTATCTGGCCTTTGGGCCAAGGGGAGGGCCGGCCCCCTGGCGCTCAAGTGCTTCTGCTGGCCCGTACGAGGAAGAACATTTTCCTTGACTTGTAGGTGCTTTTATATTCATCTCGGAAAGAAAACAAAATTCTGAACTCAGGATTTGGCAAGTTTTGAATCAGAACTGTCTTGTCTTCAAGCAGAAGAGGTTATTCAAGCTCAGTTTGGAGTTGAGATATAACAAAAAATAAAAAATTGCCCAGATAAAATGCAAAAGAAAGAAAATAAATCGTATTATCCTAACAAGCTATTTTATTTTCCTTTATCCTTTGAAAGATTACTGGATGAGGAATCAGGAAACGTGGATTTTAGTTCTAGTTACACCACGTGGGAATTAATTATATCAGACAAACCATAATACCTATAGACAAATGTCTGTAGAAACTAATAAATGGCACAGAGCTGGGACTTCCCTGGTGGTGCAGTGGTTAAGAATCTGCCTGCAAATGCAGGGGACATGAGTTCGAGCCCTGGTCCGGGACGATCCCATATGCTGTGGAGCAACTAAGTCCGTGTGCCACAACTACTGAGCCTGAGCTCTAGAGCCTGCGAGCCACAACTACTGAGCCCGTGTGCCACAACTACTGAAGCCCGTGCGCCTAGAGTCCATGATCCACAACAAAGAGAAGCCACCACAATGAGAAGCCCGTGTACCGCAACAGAAAGTAGCCCCTGCTCGCCACAACTAGAGAAAGCCCGCGCGCAGCAGCGAAGACCCAATGCAGACAATAAATAATTTTTTAAAAAGTGTCTTTAAAAAAATAAATAAATGGCACAGAGAAAAATGTAAAGAGATCCCAAAATTATGCATAGCATGTAATATATAACAAATATTTCATTGAATATTAGTCTGCTAATGGCCCAGGAATGAAGGTTTGCATCACAACAGGTAAAGAACTATGATCATCTGAGTGCTTGCTGAAGGCAAAAGGAATACAGAATGGGTAGTGGAAGAAGGTAGTTATAAATACCAGCTATGACCATGTGACCAGTTACAGGAAAGTAATTGTCATGAATATTTCCTCCTCATTTTGTTATGCATATGTTTACATGTATATGCGTGTTTATGTTTTCTTCCCTTTTCCCATATCATATAACATAAGATGTACTGACTTTTTATTATAGTATTTAAGTATTAATTTTACATCATAGTATTTAAGCTATGAGATATCAAGGAGAAAATTATCACTTAAGGACTTTACCTCCTTTCCTGGAGGAGGGTTTAGTGCGTTTTTAGTTGTATGCAAGATAGCCATAACATGTTAGGAAGAATTACAACCTTGTTATTGTCTTTATTTGGAGATTAAGTGTGGGTTTAGGAGATGCATGTGGATGCCAAGTTAACACGTAATGATTAAATTTATGTGTCAGCTTGACTGAGCCAAAAAAAAAAGAAACCCAAGCCTTTAGATCTACCGCATTTCGTGGGAAATTCTAGGGATTAAGTGACAGCATAAGGAGATAGACATATTTAGAATTTGGGACATTCTATATGACAGCTGGCCTGACCTCTTCAAAGGGTCAGTGTCATGAGGGGGGATTGTCATAGATGAGACAACACTTAAGAGCCATAATAAATTTATTGTGTGAAACTTACTGGATCCTCGTTTCAAAGAAACAGGTATAAATTTTTTTTAGGACAGTTATAGAAATTTGAATATGAAGTGAGTTTTAGGTGGTATTAAGGAATTACTGCTATTTTTGTTACATATAATATTGGTATTGTTAATTGGAGAAGTATCCCTACTCTTTGGAGATACATGTTAAATATTTAAGAATTAAGTGTCATGATGTTTTTAATTTACTAAGAAATGATCCAGTTATGAGGCAAAAAAAGGCAAAATATTAATAATGGTTAAAACTAGGTGGATGGTATATGGGCATTTATTGTATTCTTTTCTTTCCTGCGTGTATGAAATTAGAATTAAAATTACATTGAAACAGACAAACAAAAAACAGGAGAAAGCTGCTGCCGGATCCATATAGCTGCCCTACACAGCCTGTAGACCCAAAGTGGGTGATAGACCATAGCATCTAGAGCCTAATGGCCACAGCAAAAACTCATACCTGCTGAAACTGGCGCTTCAGCAACTGCCACTGGCAAAGGAAGAAGGGCTTCTGCCTCCCTTCCACGAATCATGGGTATGTGATTGACCAGATGAATCTAGAACCCTGCTGGCCAGGGGCATCCTACCATGCAGGTAATGGAGCTTAAGCCTCAGAGCCCCTCAGTTGCACAGGCATCTTCCAAGACCCCAGAAGGGCCTTAGCAATGTGTTCATGGGGTCATATGCTTTTGCAACCATCTTTGCAGAAGTAAGATATGTCAACTGAAAATAGTTAAGGTTGCTATTTCGACTCTGATTTTCCTTGTGTCATGGTATTGGATGACCATGTGTTGTGTTGGATGGTATTGGAACGGCCATGGGAATTTTGGGGATCCAGCTAAGAGGAAGTTGAACTGTAGGTACATGTAGTTGGTGTTTGTATCTGCTTCTGTGGTTTGCGGTCAATTCCAAGTTGTCCTGTTGTAGGAAAGGCTTCCATGAAGACACTTACTGCTCACTGTGCCAACTCCCTGAGCTTTATGATATCAAGGTGCAGGGCCAGAGGTCATATCATGATGTGAATGTGTCCTATGCCCATCATCAGAAGTATTTAGCAGTGGTGGAGGAGAAAAAAAGGCTGAAATGTACAAAGCCAGAAGCTAGTCTGTGTAATATTCTTCCACTTACCAGATGTATAAAATTGTAAGTGGAGAATTTGGTACTCACTGGTGCCTAGTAAAATGGAAGATTTCTCCTATCAGGAACATGCTCAGTAACTTAGCTTACACGTTTACAAACACCAAATAGTTTTTGATGGGCATTATGAATCGTAGAGTTTATCAGAATTCCTATATTTGTAGGGCAAAACCTGCAGTAGTACTACAAATAGTATGTTTCATATGTTTTATGCGTATCAACTATCAACAATAAAAATAAATTTTAATGAACCGTGCTGAAAGAAAAATTCAATTATCTTTTTATTTATTTTCCATTAGATATTACAAAATCTTATCTTATGGAAAAGTGATCAAAGATCATGTAGCACAAAAAAAGTAGAAAAAAAAACCTGTTATAAAGGTATGTTGGGAAGGTGAATAATTATTTTTCCTGGGTTTAGTGATGTTTGTGTTATTTCAGCTTTTAAAAATTTATAATGCATTATGATTTTTTCCCTCATTCTAAATAATTATTTGTAATTTTGTGTTCTTTTACTTAAAGAAGGCCTGCACAATTTTATAAGCTTTAGACAGGATATGTCAGAGCAAAAAGATAGAATTCTGGTCTCTATGACACTTAGAAGCCCATGGCAGCTCTGGATGGCTCATCTCCAGACTCCTTTTATTTAAGGGAGAAATCAGTATCTTTCTTGTTTAAATGACTGTGTTTTTGGCTTTTCTGTTATGAGCAACCAAACAGAATCTTAACTGATATGTCCTTTGACTCAGCAGTTCCACTTCCAGGAATTTGTCCTGCAGATACACTGGCACATTTGCAAAATGATGTATGGTCAAGGTCATTCATTGCAGCAAAAGATGAGAAACAATCTTTATGCTCATCAATGGAGACTGGTGGAATAAATTATGTACATCCATACAGTGAAATAGTAAGCACTGTATATTAGGAGGAAGCTTGTCATATTGACATGGAATTATCTCTAAGGTATATTGTTAAGAGAAAAAAGTAAGTACAGAAGTGTGTGAATACCATGCTATTATTTGTGTTAAAGAAGAAAAATATGCCATTGGTTGCCTCTGGGGGCGACTGAATGGCTGAGGACAGAATGAGAGGGAGACTTTTTACTGTGTTCCTTCTGAATAATTGTGAACTTTTAATCTATTAAAAATAAAATTAAAATAAAAACTAGAAAACATTCTTATAATTAATACTTGTATAACAAAACATATTGTTTGCTAAAAAAAATACTCTTTTCAGATAAAAAAATAAATAAAAATCCCCTAAGCCACCCATAAATAGAGATGCCATATGCCTGGCTTGCCCAGACAGTCCCAATTTATGCCTCTTTCTCTGGAATAATTGTCAATATCACCTCACTTCACTCTCAGCGGTGTCCTGGTTTGGATGATAAATTGTCTGGTCAACCCACCCACAAATTACATCAGACCCCTTAAGAAGTCCAGCCCAGCCAGTGATGAAAGTGATCCCACCTCTTTGACTGATGACCAGATGAAGTAGTTGGCTTTAGTTTAGGGACCTTGAGTGAAGAAGAACGTGTTTTTAATGATAAATGGATGTCAGTGAGGTGGGCAATGATCACACCGAGAAAGGCAATAGGGAGTGGAACAAACTGAAGGTCTGATGGCTTCTCTTTATCATCTTGTGCTGATGCTGGGGCATTGCTTAGTGGGAGGAATGGTGGATGAACCACTGTCTTATTTCCCTGATTATTTTCTCTCTCTCTTTTTGCTGTATAATTACATGAACAAATGTTACATGCACATATGTCATGACTCAACTCTGTAGAACTTACCATGTTGTATTTGCAATCTGCCTATACCTCCAGGATTGTGAGCCTTGTGAGGGCAGTGACTGTGATTTCTCCCTGTGTCCTGGCACACAGTCAAACTCACCAAATGTTTGTTGAATGAATGACTGAACTCTGCAGAGACCTGCGCTGACATCTGGTGCTCTCTTCCCCACAGCCTCTGGTTGTCATATCTTGAAGACTGTAATATTTATGAAGGCAGGAGCTAAATTTACTTGAATCAACACTGGAACCTCAGCGCAGAGTACTGGTACATAGTAAGTACTAATAAATGTCAGTTTAATGGATGAATGAATGATGCAGTTTTAAAAAAGTTTTATTGATGTATAGTTGATTTACAATGTTATGTTAATTTCTGCTATACAGCAAAGTGATTCAGTTATACATATATATATTCTTATCCATGTTCTTTTCCATTACGGTTTATCACAGGATATTGAATATAGTTCCCCGTGCTATACAGTAGGACCTTGTTGTTTATCCATTCTATACATAATAGCCTGCATCTGCTGACCCCAAACTCCGAGTCCTCCCCTCCCCCACCCCCACCGCCTCCCCCTTGGCAACCACAAGTCTGTTCTCTTATATCTGTGAGTCTGTTTGTTTTGTAGATATGTTCATTTGTGTCATATTTTAGATTCCACATATAAGTGATATCATATGGTATTTGTCTCTCTTTTTGACTTACTTCACTTAGTCTGATAATCTCTAGATCCATCCATGTTGCTGAAAATGGCTGAGTAATATTCCATTGTATATATTGTATATACCACATTTTCTTTTTCTGTTCATTTGTTGATGGACATCTATTGTAGGTTGTTTCCATGTCTTGGCTCTTGTAAATGGTGCTGCTATGAGCCTAGGGGTGCATGTATCTTTTCAAATTTTGTTTTGTCCGGATATATGCCCAGGAGTGGGATTGCTGGATCATATGGCAACTCTATTTTTAGTTTTTTGAGGAACCTCCATCCTGTTTTCCACAGTGGCTGCACCAATTTACATTCCTACCAACAGAGTAGGAGGGTTCCCTTTTCTCCACACTCCCTCCGGCATTTGGCATTTGTAGACTTTTTTTTTTTTTAATTGGAGTACAGTTGATTAACAATGTTATGTTCGTTTCAGGTGTACAGCAAAGTGATTCAGTTGTACACATACATGTATCCATTCTTTTTCAAGTTCTTTTCCCATTTAGGTTATCACAGGATATTGAGCAGAGTTCCCTGTGCTATACAGTGGGTCCTTGTTGGTTATCTATTTTAAATATAGCAGTGTGTACATGTCAATCCCAAACTCCTAGTCTATCCCTACCCCCTACCCTTCCTCCCTGGTAACCATAAGTTCCTTCTCTAAGTCTGTGAGTCTGTGTCTGTTTTGTAAATAAATTCATTTGTATCATTTTTTAAGATTTCGCATATAAGCAATATCATATGGTATTTGTCTTCCTCTGTCTGACTTACTTCACTTAGTATGATAATCTCCAGGTCCATCCATGTTGCTGCAAATGGCATTATTTCATTCTTTTTAATGGCTGAGTAATATTCCATTGTATATATGTACCACATCTTCTTTATCCATTTGTCTATCGATGGACATTTAGGTTGCTTCCATGTCTTGGCTATTGTAAACAGCACTGCAATGAACATTGGGGTGCATATATCCTTTCAAACCATGTTTTTCTCTGGATATATGCCCAGGAGTGGGATTGCTGAATCATATGGCAGCTCTATTTTTAGTTTCTTAACTAACATCCATACTCTTCTCCATAGTGTCTGTACCAATTTACATTCCCACCAACAGTGTAGGAGGGTTCCTTTTTCTGCACACTCCCTCCAGCATTTGTCATTTGTAGACATGTTTTTAATTGGAGTATAGTTGATTAGCAATGCTGTGTTAGTTTCTTGTGTACAGCAAAGTGATTCAGTTATACATTTACATGTATCTATTCTTTTTCAAATTCTTTTCCCATTTAGGTTATTACAAGATACTGAGCAGAGTTTCCTGTGCTATACAGTAGGTCCTTGTTGGTTATCTATTTTAAATATAGTAGTATTTTGGATGATGGCCATTCTGACTGGTGTGAGGTGATATCTCATTGTAGTTTTGATTTGCATTTCTCTAATAATTAGTGATGTTGAGAGTCTTTTCATGTGCCTCTTGGCCATCTGTGTGTCTTCTTTGGAGAAACGTCTATTTAAGTCTTCTGCCCATCTTTCAGATTGTGTTGTTCATTTTTTTGTTATTGACTTGTATGAGCTGTTTGTATATTTTACAAATTAAGACCTTGTCAGTCACATCATTTGCAAATATTTTTCTCCCAGTCTGTAGGTTGTCTTTTAGTTTTGTTTATGGTTTCCTTTTGCTGTGCAAACGCTTATAAGTTTGATTAGGTCCCATGTGTTTATTTTTGTTTTTATTTCTATTGCCTTGGGAGACTGAGCTAAGAAAACATTGGTACGATTTATGTCAGAGAATGTTTTGCTTATGTTCTTTTCTAGGAGTTTTATGGTATCATGTCTTATATTTCAGTCTTTAAGCCCAAGTGATTCAGTTTTTGCCTCAGTCATCTGAGGACCAATCTCTTACCTGATCATTCTCGTCCCTGGTGTTATGGACTCAATATCTGGGTCCTCCTCAGATTCATATGTTGAAGCCTCTAGCTCACAACGGGATGGTATTTGAAGATGGGACCTTTGGGGGGTAATTAGAATCATGATGGGATTGGTGGCCTTATAAGAAGAAGAAGCTTGCACACACTGAGGGAAGACCATATGAGGACATAGAGGAAGTCAGCTGTCCCCAGGAAGCCAATCTGCTGGCACCTTGATCTTGGATTCCCCAAGCCTCTAGAACTGTGAGAGATAAGCTTCTGTTGTTTAAGCCACACAATCTATAGTATTTCGTATGACAGCCAAGCAGACTAAGACAGGTGGTGCACCTGGCCCTGGAGTAGGGCAGGGGAGCTCTCTCACCCTGGTGGAAGAAGAGTGCATGGAGAAGGCAGGGTTTGGAGACCTTCCTGAATGAACACAGGCCATGCTTTACAAGCTGAGACTTAAATGGTAAATAGGAGTGAGGCAAGAGAAGCAAGCATCTGGCGAGAAGGGACTTGGGGAGGAGTGGGAGGGATGTCAGCTCCAGGAGGGGAAGGATTTTTGACTTTGCTTTGCTGTGTACCCCAATGTCTGAAGCAGTGGGCACTCAACAAAGAGTTGCTGAATGAAAGAATAGACTGAACCACACAGCGAAGTCCCTGTGGCCTGGAAGAACCTGGAAGGCTCTGCAGTGCTGTCTTTAGAAGCTCAAAGTAGCAAGAGCAGAAGCCCAGGAGTCAGTCAGGAGGCTCACCCAGTTTGGATTCTCCCCAAAGCAGGTACTGAGACAAGGATTTAGGTGCTGCTAGTTTCTACTTGGGAAGCACAAGTGAGGGAGTGGGGGGAACTGAGAAGAAAAGTTGGGGTAGTGAATGGAGGGGCTGAATCCCATTGGGGACCTCTGAGGAATCTTGCGGAATATGCCTCAGCATTGTCCTCCCGAGGAGTGGGGATGGGTGGTCATCTGTGATTCTTGCGGAGTGTCCCTGGGGGGCCGTAAGATCCCTAACACTCCGGGCTGCCCTGCTCTGGGCCGAGCAAGCTGCTGTGCTGTGTCAGAAAGCCCTGGGAGAAAGCAGGGGAGCTGCTTGAGGAGGGAAGCTGCCAGCCTCTTGGCAACCCGCCACCACGGCTGCAGCTGTGTTCAGGGGATGCTAGATAGAGGGTCTGGGGTGGGCCTCACAGCTTCCGTTCCAGAGGAGATACAGGGCTCCAAACAAGAGAGAGTGGTGGCTTTAATTATGGTGGTGGCATTGGACGGGGAGAGAAATAGGCGGATTTGAGGTACTTTGGGGATATGGATGGTGAACAACAGTAGAAAGTCAAAGCTCTTTCTTTTTTCCTCTCTCTCTGTCCATTTTCATTCCAGAGATATGTACTGCTGTGCTCTGGCTCCCTGGGAAGTGGGCAGTGAGGCTGAGTTTATTGAGCACGATGGTAAGGAGTGTCCTTGCACCAGCACCTGTGGAAAGGAGGGAACAGACACAGGAGTGGGCAAAGGGGAACCACACAGCCGCAGTCAACCCCAAAGGGCGCTCTGGAGCTAGACCTGACTTACAGAGTTGTCCTAGGTCGGGCCTAGATGCTGGACCTCCATCAGTCCAGGGATGTGGGCCAACCTGGGAAGGGCAGCTCTCTTCAGCTGAGGCTATTGCTATCATGGCGTCCGTCACAATTATTGTCTTTTGCAGGCCAGGTACCATTGTAGGTGCTGAGTATGTAGCAGTGAATGGGGTCAGGTGAGGGAGAGACAACAAACAAATATATAACATTGGGCAGTGAGAAGTGCAAAGCAGAAAACCACACAGGGTTAGCTGGATGATGGCTGGACAGGGTGGGTGAAGGTTGGGATGGAGGTGATGGAAACTTGAAGGTAAAATCAACCTGACTGTGACAGTTTAGGGGCTGGGCAGCCTCTCCCTGCACTGCACACCCCTGGAACCCACTCCGGAGCTGAGAGCTGCCCCATCTCTTGGCCACAATTCCCAGCATCTTTGTAGGAGGTAGGGGCAGCCCCACTTCCATAAGAAATTTGCCATGGGACCCTCTGCTTTCTTGTTGGCCAGCAGCCTGGGGTTTTCGGAGTTGGGGAGTGGCATGAGGGGCGGTAGCTGGAGGTTGGCAAGTCTTCCCGCTGCCTCCAACCTGGGGAGGGGGGTGGATTGGCAGGACGGGTGGCTGGGCCCAAGTCATGGCCGAGACTCTGTGTGTGTGCGTGTGTGTCCGTGTGTCAGTCCTTTCCCACATGCGATCCTGCTGCCCGCTTCCTTGGCCCGCCTCACCTGGGCAGATGCCTGCAGGGGGCAGCACTGCTGGGGTCCCTGCTGGGGGCCAGGGTTGGGGGAGGCTCCCCCAGCCAGGCCCAGGCTCCGCCTGCTTCCCTCCCCCTCTCTCCCCAGGCCCTTGTGTTTGCAAAGGAAGGTCGAGCGTCCCAGGAGTCTGGATGCAGTCACGGATCATTACGGCCGGGAGAGCTGGTGCAGCCTCGGCCAGGGCAAGGGCACGGCGGCTGGTAGACTGGCGGGCGAGGTCCCGTGGAGTGAGGCCGTCCTCGGTTGCAGCATCCCTGCCAGTGTCGCCACTCCCGCGGACGCTGGGGCCCGGAGAGTGGTGCTGTGGACTGGTTCCGGCCAGTGGCGCATTTAGCATCAAAACAAACCCAATACTGAGTGAGTTGGCAACCAGTCCCTCTGTTTCTGACAGCTTGGGTCAGTTTCCTGGTGACTGACAGAAATGAAAACCTGAATATAGGTTGTGGCTCTGCCAGTCTTTGCCTGAGTGTTCTCAGACAAGTTACTCAGTTACTCTGAGCCTCAGTGTTCTCATCTGTAAAATGGAGGGATTCAACATGATCTCTGAACGTTTTTTCTATCTCTAAAGCACTGTCTGTTCTGTGGCCCTCTTCCTGTTCTGGTCCTGGAGGTCAGGAGAGATGTAGGAAGTTGGAGTTTTAAGGACTTCCTTGGCTTCTGTTCACCCAGTTGTGAGCATCTGACTGGAGAGACTCTATAAGGGACAGATTGCTGAGGAATAGGGAGGCCCTTCCCATTTGTGAAGAGCAGAGAAGAGTCATGGTGGGTGAGAGCCAACAGCAAGAGAAGGGGAGGTGGCAGAGGACATCCGAAGAGCTTCTGGCACGTAACTGTGGTGCTCATGGGGAACATCAGCTCCTTTGTGGTTTGCTCTCCATCCCTCCCTTGAGAAACTGTCATTCCCCAATACCTGTGTTTCAGGTGAGGCTATTAACTATGGAGCTCTGCCCGTCCCTGTCCAGCAGTGGGGATTATGAGTCATATTCAGGGGCCAGTGTGGATAGTGACGGAGACAGTGGCACGCTCTTTTCTCTGGCTTTGCTAACTGTGTGGGTGAGGTAAGTCTGGAACTGTTTGGAACATCTTTGATGCCGCATGGAGAGAGCCTGACTGAAAATGGAGCACACTAAAGGGAAAGCAAAAATATTTTACATTTTAAAAATATTTTATTTATTTATTTATTTTTGGCTGCACTGGGTCTTTGTTGCTGTGCGCGGGCTTTCTCTAGTTGCAGCGAGCGGGGGCTACTCTTCATTGCGGCGCGCGGGCTTCTCATGCGGTGGCTTCTCTTGTTGTGGAGCACGGGCTCTAGGCACACGGGCTTCAGTAGTTGTGGCTCGTGCGTTCTAGAGTGCAGGCTCAGTAGTTGTGGCACACGGGCTTAGTTGCTCCGCAGCATGTGGGATCTTCCCAGACCAGGGCTTGAACCCATGTCCCGTGCGTTGGCAGGCAGACTCTTAACCACTGCACCACCAGGGAAGCCTGGGAAAGCAAAAATAGAAACAGAAGGTCCTAGTGACATAATTTGAGCTCCTGGATATATCCATGCCTAAAGCCAGCCCCACCCCTGGATTTCCCCACTTATTTGTACCAATGAATTCCTCCTTTAGATTATTCCAGTTTGAGTTGGATTTCTACTGATTGTGGTTGACTGAGTTCTGGCAAATACAGTGTCTAATAAATATAATAGCACTTCAGGATGATATGCTAGATCGTTTCTAGTCAAAGTGGTCCAAGGACCAGCAGCATGGGAGCTTGCTGGAAATGTAGAATCTCAGGTCTATCCAAGACCTATTGAATCAGAACCTTCATTTTAACAAGAGCCCAAGCTATCCATATATACATTGAAGTTTGAGAAGCAGTACACTAGACCAGTAGCTCTCAGCTCTAGAAGCACACTTAAAAGTCCCAACACCCAAGCCATACTCCAGACCAATTAAATCAACATCTCTGAGGGTGGACCCTGGCATCCTCATTTTTTTTAAACTCCCTGGGAGATAACAATGTACAACCAAGCTTGAGGACCACTGCTCTGGTGTGATTTGCTTAATGGTGGCTAAAACGTCAAATGCTTTGTGATTTAGAATACGGCCAAAGCCTGCTTCTGTTGTGGGCACAGCAAAGGGACCTTGGTAGTGGTGGGGTCCCTTAGAAATTAAGTGGGAGCTGCCTTGCCCGGTAGAGGAGCCAGACTGGGCTGTATCCCACAAACAGAACTCACAGGCACCCCAAGGGGGATTTTACCAAATCCTGGAATACTTTCTTTTCTTACTACAGCAACATATCTTCTCTTCCTTTGAATTCATAATCCAGGACTACATAAATATCTCGTAAGCTTTAAAAATTCAAGTCCCTCTGACACAGGAACTTGACCATAAGCACAACCTGAACCCCAAACTGAACCCAAATATTATTTTTTTACTGAACCATGAACTACCTCCAAAATATGTTGTGAGTTTTTATTTTCCTTCTAAAAATCACTATTGTGGTGAATCAATTCACTCTGGAGCTAATCCACATGCTTTCTAAAATCAGTCAACTAGAAGAAAATGGGGATATCAGAATATTCTCTGAATTGAACGCAAGCAAAATTCTTTGCATTGGAGAATTGGCTCTGACTGGTTGCTGTGGGAATTTGGCCTGTGGCCTCATGCTTCCAGTGGCTAGTCAGATGCAGCATTCTCCTGCATTTCTATTTCTTTCTGAGTGAGGACCTTGCCAGGACCCATGGGGCACCTGTGACCAATTATGTATGGTCCAGGTGGCATCGTTAGGGTGTTAGCAGGTGGCAGCGGTCCGTATGCATGGAAAAATGAATAAGATGGAGGTATATCCTCCTAGGGAGAGGGAGAAGAGGGATGGAAAAGGAGTTTCTGGGGCTGCTTTGTGTTTGTTCTTTATGGTTTTAACTGCTGGCAAAGAACCCTTTCCTGCCTGGAGCGCTGCTTGGGAGCAGGGAGAGGTGTGGGAGGGGATGGGGAGAGAGCTAGAAGCTGGCCTTTCTCTGCTCACCGTTGTCAGCAGCTCATTAGGGATTCTAATCAGGCAGAAATATTTTCCCGTTACCTCATTACCAACTCTAACAAGGTCCCAGCTCCAGGTCGTGGCTGCTTTTCTCCTGCTGGGGTTAACGATGAGCAGCTTGTTGGAGACTTCGGTAACTCATTTGTTATAACATGCGATTCACAGCAGCAAGAAGGCTCTGGGGTGGAGGAGGCAGAGCAGAGAGCAGGGGAAGAGGTGGAGGGAGAGCCCTCTTCGCAGAGGACAGGAAGGCAGAAACGCCCAGTGCTTCGGGGAAACCAAGCTCAGACCCTAATGGGCACCTTGAATCTTCTGGGAATCCGGGCCCAGCTCTGTGTGAGGTGCAGACCAGCTCCAATTGTGTGTGGAAACAGGTGACATCATGCCCAGTTGTTGGCTGGGGATTAAAGGGCGAGCTTTTAATCCTGTAGGGACAATCTTCAGGACCTCTGCTTCGTGTGCTTGTATGGCCCTAGACGCCAATCCTTGAACTTAGTGATTTGAAAAATATCTGCATGCCATAATTTACCAGGTCAAAGCCTATCCACGGCTTCCTAATTCCCATCGTCTTACATCAAAACTTCTTTACTTGCCTATCTAGGCTCTCCATAAAATACCTCTACTCAAACTAGTTGTGTTTCAAGTATTTCCCCCATACAAAATCCTCTATTTGAAACTCTTAAGGACTTGGTCTCTTCAATATCCCATAAAGACTGTTAATTTTACCTTCTTCTTGATTGTTCTTCCTTCACATTCAAGTCCTGTGCATTCACCAAAGCTTAACCAAAGCATTATATCTTCCATAAATCCTTTCATGATTATGCTACTGGATGCCTACGGCATGGCTTAAAATGGGGATCTGCCAGATTTGGCCCATCTCTTTTTATAAAGTTTTATTGGAACCCAGCCATGCTCACATGCTTACTTAGCTGCTTTTGCGCTACATCAGAAGAGTTAAGTAGTTACAACAGAGACCATATGACCGGCAAAGCCTAAACTATTTACTATTTGCCCCTTTGCAGAAAAAGTTTGTCTACCCCAGCTTAAACCGTAAAGTTTATAACTTTAATTTATATTGTGCTTCCTTAAATTCTTCCAGAATGCCTTCCCAGCTTATTCTTTTTCTCCTCTTCTTCCTATCCACTCTGCACTCTTCCCATCTTCTCTTGCTCTGAACTTTCATCACATTTTATCTGTTTATTTCTTGTGATGCTTTTCTCTTTCTAAAAATTGCAACCGTCATTTATTTAAATGCCTGTTCTGTATAATCTCTAGTCTGTAAGCCCTTTGCAGGCAGAATCTCTTCAGATCCATCTCTGCAACCCCTCAACTATTAGCACAGGGTTCAGTAAGTGGGGAAAGAACCTCGTTGGTTTCAGAGTCTGCCATGGCTCCTGAATGGCCTTTCTGGAATTGCCACGAGAGGTGTCAACAGTTTTCTGGCAGTTCTGTTCAGGGTTATGACATCCTGAAGAGCTGTGTTCCTTGTAGAATAAAGCTATCTAACCCTGCCCTTGAACTACTGCTTCCTCAGTAGTGAGATCACCATTTCATGGAGGGTAGGATGCCCTGCAACTTTGTGGGTGAATTAGGGGATACTATTGATCCTGGTTCATTTCCATCTCTCCCTTCTTTTCTAACATGATCCCATTTTATAGAATTCCAGGTGTAGGCCCCTCAGTTCTATGGAGATGTCTGAGAAAAACAAAAGCTTCCTGTCTTTCAATCTTTATTATACAAAATCACAGTGAAATTGTGGGAGGCAGAATAATGGCCCCCAAAGATGTCTATGTCCTAATCCCTGGAAACTGTAACTACATTACTTTATAATGCAAACGGGAGTTTGAAGATATGGTTAAGGGTAAGATTTTGAGATGGTGATATTATCTTGGATTATTGGATTGTCCAATTTAATAACCTGAGTCCTTAAAGGTAGAATAGTGAGGCAGGAGAGTAGGTCAGAGAGACGTGACATGAGAAGGACTCAATCCATTGTTGCTGACTTTGAAGATGGGGGAAAGGGCCATGAGCTAAGGAATGAGGGCAACCTCTAGAAGCTGGAAAGATAAGGTACAGATTCTCCCCTAGAACTTCCAGAGGGGAAGGCAGCCCTGACACCACATTGATTTTTAGCTCACTGAGACCCATGTCCGACTTTGACCTCTAGAACAAGCAGATAATATATTGTTGAAGACACTAAATTTGTGGTAATTTATTATAGGAGCAGTAGAAATTTTACCATTTTACACAAAATATTTCACTGACTTAGGGAAGCTGTGTGGGGAGGTGGAGGCTAGCTGGTATTTGTCTATCCATTCCAGAAAAAAGAAGTGTTGTTCAGAGTCCTGGAGCTAGAGCTGGCCTGGTTGTCTTGGAGATCATTACATTTACCCCTAAGATTAAGTTAAATTGGGGAAATGTGTATGGCCTTTTGCTGTCAGTATTTTGGGGGGAAGGCATGGACTGGCTTTGTGGGGTTTTTGTTGCATGTACATAGTGTATACAGACTTCAGGTTTTTAGACCAGTTTGTAGAACTCTGGTCCTCAGAGAGTCAGGAACCCTGAAGTTCAGGGCCTGGGGTGATTTCTCCTGGGCATTGCTTTGGTTACTAAAACAATTGGATGAACCATGTATCAATTATCTATTGACATAATAATGCTACATAAAAAAACATCCCCCACCAAAAAAACCCAAAAAACAAAAAAAATCCCCCAAACCTCACTGACTTGAAACAATAACCATTTATCATTGCTCACAGGCTTATGGCTCTGCTGATCTGGGCTGGGCTCAGCTGAGCCCAGCATCTGTGGTCAGGTTGGCTGGAGGCTGATTGGTTCAGAATGACCTCAGCTGGGGAGACTTGGCTCTTCTCCACATGCTCTCTCCCCTCCAGAAGGCTAGCTGATGGTGGTCTCATGACAGGGGAGGGAGAAAGGGGGGTTGTGGAGAGTGGGAGAGGGAGAGGGAGAGGGAGAGGGAGAGGGAGAGGGGAGTAGGTGAGGCCTCTAGAGGCCTAGTTTGGAGCTGATATGTTGCTGCCTACATTCTGTTGGTCAGAGGAACTTACAAGGAAACCTAGATTTAAAGAACAGGGAAATAGTTTCAACTTCTTGATGAGAGGAACTACCAGGTCACATTGCAAGTGGTGTGGGAAGGATGGAGAATTAGGGCCATTTTTGCAGTCAGTCTGCCGCAGACTCTCCAGGAAGGGAAAAATGCCCTTAGACCCAAACAGCTCCTGAGAGCTGGCTCCTTTCCTGGCATGGGAGTCATCAGAGCCTCCGGATCCCATCCCCTTTTCACTACATGTCCTCTCTCAAAGAAAGCCACAATTCTCCCTATGAACTGCCAGCCATCAGCGCCCGCCTTCCCTGTCTCTCTGCTCCAAGCCTGAGGGATGTCGTGGACGACCAGCCAGCTTGATGAATGCCGCCTCTGTAAACCCTCCCCTGGCCTCTGTCACAGCATCAGTGTGAAATGAACTTGCTAATACTCTGAGAGCCACAAACCTTTTCCTCTTCCCCAGCACGACGCATCGAATCGATCTGGCTGGGTGAGCCGCGACAAACCAAACCCCACAGAGAAAGGCATCAGCAAATTTAAAGCCTCGTTCAAGGTCTTGATTCACCATAAACTAAGTTGCCGGCAGCAGGTGTTGACACTTCTTCCACGGCGGTTGATACCGGGATTTATCGACTTGCCATAAGATGTTGATATTGACCAAGACTGAGTTCCGAATGAAAAGGCCTATGGCAGTATATCTTTATTGCTCAGATAATCTGTGGACTTGCTAATCCTTCCTTGTCCCACTCAATAATGTTGCAGAAATTCTTTTGGAACGGAGAGACCGTTACTTAAACACAACAAGATGCTCTTTCCCTACAAGACCTCCTGAAACAGGGATGGAGGTACCAGCAGTGTGTTGAGAACATAACCAGTGTTGGAAAATCTATTTGTGCCTGTGCCCGAAACCATAATGCCTTTAAGTTTTTAGAGACCCAGCTCTCTCCTCTTGGGAAACAGCCCAGAAAAAAACACAGTAGGATTTGACATGGGACCTGTTCATGAATAGTGTCCACTTCCCTTTCCCCACTGGTCCACTTCAGGGCCACAGGTGTGCCTACCTCCCACCCAGGCTAGTGAACAGTATGATGTCACCCTTAGCACTGGTCCCTGACAGTGAAATTAATGTGACAGTTGGTTCTTGCTAATTGTGGGGCCCACTAGGAACACAGAAAAAGAGGGACAATTTATTACCTGCTAATTTGTTTTCTCATTGAAATAAATACAGTCTGCAGCCCTCATTTAAGGGAGGATATGTATGCATTAGAGTCACATATGGTGACTTTTGAGTTATTTTGGATATCAGGGTCCCTAGGAAAATCAGCAGGGAGAAGATGAGCAAACTGAACAGGGCCAAGGAAGCAGCCCAGAGTGGCTGGGTCAGGGAGCAAGCCAGAGGGGCAGAATTTCCAACCCAGCTCCCTTACCCAGCTCTGTTCCCCTGGATGGTTTCTAAGGGCCTCTTCAAAGAGGAAGATGGAGGCCAGTGGGGAGAGGCCAAGGAAGACAGAGCCACAGGAAGATGGAGATTTCATAGACATGCTCTCCCCTGCCATCAGGTAAGTAGGTGCAGGATGACCCAGATGCTGACCCACAGTGGGACTCTTGCTCTGTTCTCTCTTCTAAGACTTGCATAGTCATTAGCAGTGCAATCTCTACTAGCCCTCCTGGCTTGCGGCCTCAGGGAGGGAAGGAATTGATCACAACATCAACTGCATTCCAAAGAGGTACTAACAGAGGTTGAGAGCACAGGCTTGGCAGCCAGACAGTTTTGGGTTTGCAATCTGGCTTCTGCACTTATCAGCTGGGTGACCTTGGGCAAGTCTCTTATCTTTTCTAAGCCACAGTTTTCTCATCTGTAAAAAGGAGGAAATAGTAACTGTACCATGGCAGGCAATTTTTATTGCCTCCTTTTCTTCCTTGCCAACAGAATATCAATTTTGTTCAGGTGTCACTTCCCATGATTTCTGGGGAGGTGGGCCTAGGTCCTGATCCTAGAGTGAACATGTGATCAGTTCTGGCCAATGAGATGAAAAGGGAATATTTTGGGGGTAGTTCTGGCATTTTCCCTCCCTGATATGAGAAGGCAGACAAAGAGTATCTCTCTATTCTGTCTGCCACCTGCTTCCTTCTTGACGTGAAGTTGGTTGGTGGGAGGAACCCCCCCTGCTCATGCTGCCCCCTGCTTCCTACAATGGAAATTTGTTGACTAATGCTATGGCTTTGGCAGCAATTTTATTCCCAAGAGACCAGGAGAATGTGGAGACACCTATTCAGGGTCCTCCATCATAGAGCAGCTAAAACAAAGCCTAACTGCCCAAGTTTCATGTGAGAAAAATGAACCCTTGTTTGTTAATGTTGCTGTGAATTGATTATTCTGTTCCTTGCAGCCAAAAGCATTCGTAAACAATGTAAGTACCTATTTCATGGTTTGATGGGAGAATTATATAAGATAGTCAGAGGGTCTTCTGGACAGAGGCCTGAAAGCTTCTCCAATTTCTCTGCAGAGTCTTGACAGTAGGTTTGTAATATTTCCTCCTTGGGAATAATGATGAAAGAGAGAGGCTGGGAAAAGGAGCAGAGAAGTGAGATAACTCCACTTTTCTCTTCCTGTTTTGGGGAGAAGGCAATTCAGACTTTAGATGATGATTCTCCAACCACCATGCCTATAATGCATTGCATGCTGGGTCAAGCAACTACCGAATACATCTTGCAGACAATGGCTGGATTTAAAATTTTTTGTGTACCTCAAATATCGGTAAATTTCATTCAATTTTCTCATTGCTTTACCTACTAATTTTAAGATTGTGTAGGGCATCACTTCAGTTCAATAAGCAGCGGTTTCCATTGTTTTAGGTTTTTTATTTCTTTGCCATTAGGTCTGCAATCTCTACAGACTGAAGGGGACTAGACAGTTCTCGTTGCAAAGGAACCTTTTGGTAAGTGAAGAATCATTATTTAATGCTAAGAATCATCTTCCAGTTACTTTATTTGCTAAAATTCTTGAGAACCCAATAGTTGGGTGCTCAAATAGGGTAGCAATCTGCCCCAGGTTGGCTTCTGAACCCTGAAACTCAACGTATTGTGGTAGCTCACAGCCTGAGAGAATCTTGCAAACTATTTGCAAGGATCAGGGAAGGGACTGCAAAACGATGTATTCTTAGCTTTGAGTTGGTATAGCTTGTCTGTCTCATAGGTTAGTATTTATTTTTAAATTTTTATTTAAAAATTATTATATAGTAAAATTAATGTTTTGTGTGTATACGATTCTATTAATTTTGACACATATATGGATTTATGTAACCACCACCATAATTAAAACAGTGCTCCCTCATGCTAGCTCCTTCTAGTCACATTGTTTTCTCACCTCCAACCTCTGCCACTGACTTGTCTGTTTGCCATCACTATAGTTTTGTGTTTTCGAGAATGTCATATAAAGGGCATCATATAGTAGATCACCCTTTGAAACTGGCTTTTTCATTCAGCATAATACCTTAGAGATTCATTCAAGTTGTTGTGTGTATTAAAATCTGTTCGTTTTTATTGCTGAGTGGTTGATATTCCACTGTATGGTTGTTCCACAGTTTGTTAATCCATTCACCTTTTAAAGGATAGTTAGGTTGCCTCCAGTTTGGGGCAATAATGAATAAAGCCACTATAAACATTTGTGTTCAGGTTTTTGTGTGAACTTGGGTTTTCATTTCTTAGGGTAAATAATTAGAAGTTGGATTGCTGGGTCATATGGTAAGTGTACGTTTAACTTTATAAGAAGTTGCCAAGCTGCTTTCTGGAGTGGCCACACCATTTTGCATTCCTATCAGCAAGGTGGGAGAGTTCTAGTTAGTCCATATTTTAATCAGTACTTGGCATTTTGGGTATTTAAAATTTTATTTTAGCCATTTAATGTGTGTAGCGGTATGTCACTATGATTTTAATTTGCATTTTCCTAATGGTTAATAATGTTGAACATTTTTTTGACATCCATATATCCTCTTTGATGAAGTGTTTATTTCAGCCCTTGGCCCATTTTTAAATTGTGCTACTTGTTTTCCTGTTGCTGAGTTTTGAGAATTCTTTATATATTCTGGATACAAGCCCTTTGTTGAACACGTGATTTGAAAATATTTTCTTCCAGTCTGTAGCTTGTCTTTTCACTCTCTTAACAGTGTCTTCTGCAGACCAAAGTTTCTAGTTTTGAAGAAATCTGAATTTCAGTTTTTTTCTTTTATGCATTATACTTTGTGTCATATCTAAGAATGTTTTGCCTAACTTTAGATCTCAAAGATTTTGCCCATGTCTTCCACAAGTTTTGTAGTTTTATATTTTATATTTAGATATATGATCCAGTTGAGTTAATTTTTGTATACGGTGTGAAATTTAAGTTGAAGTTCAGTTTTTTTTTTTAGCATATGAATGTCCAGTTGTTCCAGTACCATTTTCTGAAAAGACTGTCCCTTCCCCATTGAATGGCTTTTGCACTTTGTAAAAAAAAAAAAAAAAGTTGATCATGTTTGTATGGGGCTATTTTGGGACTCTGTTCTGTTTCATTGATATGTGCATGTCTATTTCTTTGCTAATTCCATGTCTTGACTACTGTAGCTTTACAGAGAGTATTAAAATTTGGGTAGTGTGACTTCTCCAACCTTACTCTCCATTTTCCAAGATTGGCTTAGCTATTTGTCTTCATCAGTTTGGGCTGCTAAAACAGAATGCCACAGAATGAGTGACTTAAACAACAAACATTTATTTTTCAGTTCTGGAGGTAGGAAGTTTGAGATCAGGGTGTCAACATGGCTGGTGAGAGCCCTCCTCTTAGTTCATAGCTGGCTGCCTTCTTGCTCTATTCTTCACATGGAAGAAAGAGAGAGGAAGCAAACTCTCTCTTGCCTGTTCTTATAAGGGCAGTAATTCCATTATGAAGGCTCCACTCTCATGACCTCCCCAAAGCTCCATCTCCAAATACCATCACACTGAGGATTAGGGTTTCAGCATATGAATTTTAGGGGTACACAAACATTCAGTCCATAGCACTATTCTAGTTTCTTTGCTTTTCCATATAAATTTTAGAATTAGCTTGCCCAATTCTATAAAAAAAAATCCTGCTGGAACTTTGACTGAAATTATATGAATCTATAGATCAATCTGGGAAAAATGAATATCTTTACTATACTGAGTTTTCCAGTCTGTGAGCATAGTATGTTTTGTCATTTATTTAGGCCAAATTTGAATTCTTTCATCAGCATTTTGTAGTTTTTTCAACTCACAGGTTCCATGCATATTTTGTTAGGTTTATACATAAGTATTTTATTTTTCTTGAATATGAAATATGAAAATGGTATGTATTTTTACTAGTGTCTAAAACTACGATTGGGGCTTCCCTTGTGGCGCAGTGGTTAAGAACCTGCCTGCCAATGCAGGGGAAATGGGTTTGAGCCCTGTTTGGGAAAAATCCCACATGCCGTGGAGCAACAAAGCCCATGCGCCACAACTACTGAGCCTGTGCTCTAGAGCCTGTGAGCCACAACTACTGACCTCGCTAGCCACAACTACTGAAGCCCGCATGTCTAGAGCCTGTGCTCCGCAACAAGAGAAGCCACCAAAATGAGAAGCCCTCACACCACAATGAAGAATAGCCCCCGCTCGCCACAACTGGAGGAAGCCCGCGCACAGCAATGAAGACCCAATGCAGCCAAAAAAAAAAAAACTATGATTGATTTTTGTGAGTTGAACGTTGAACTGGTGGCCTGTGACCTTGTTAAACTCACTTACTGTTTCTATGAATTTTACTGTTGTTGTTATTGTTGATTTCTCAGGACTGTATATTTAGAAAATTATGTTTGTGAATAAAGACATTTTTATTTCTTCCTTTCCAATCTGTAGGTATTTTATTTCTTTTTCTTGCCTAGTTACATTAACTACAATTTCCAGTATGATGTTGATTGGACTGGTGAGAGTATGTCTTCTTCCTTTTTTTTTTTTTAACATCTTTATTGGAGTATAATTGCTTTACAATGTTGTATTCGTTTCTGCTGTATAAAAAAGTGAATCAGTTATATGTATACCTATATCCCCATATCCCCTTCCTCTTGCGCCTCCCTTCCACCCTCCCTATCCCACCTCTCTAGGTCATCGCAAAGCACCGAGATGATCTCCCTGTGCTATGCGGCTGCCTCCCACTAGCTATCTATTTTACATTTGGTAGTGTATATATGTCTGTGCCACTCTCTCACTTCGTCCCAGCTTGCCCTTCCCCCTCCCCGTGTCCTCAAGTCCATTCTCTACGTCTGAATCTTTACTCCTGTCCTGCCCCTAGGTTCTTCAGAACCATTTTTCTTAGATTCCATATATATGTGTTAGCATACGGTATTTGTTTTTCTGTTTCTGACTTACTTCACTCTGTATGACAGACTCTAGGTCCATCCACCTCACTACAAATAACTAATTTCACTTTTTTTACGGCCAAGTAATATTCCATTGTATACATGTGCCACATCTTCTTTATCCATTCATCTGTTAATGGACACTTAGGTTGCTTCCATGTCCTGGCTATTGTAAATAGTGCTGCAGTGAACATTGTGGTACATGTCTCTTTTTGAATTATGGTTTTCTCAGGGTATATGCCCAGTAGTGGGATTACTGGGTCATATGGTACTTCTATTTTTAGTTTTTTTAAGGAACCTCCATACTGTTCTCCATAGTGGCTGTATCAATTTACATTTGCACCAACAGTGCAAGAAGGTTCCCTTTACTCCACACCCTCTCTAGCATTTACTGTTTGTAGAAATTTTGCTGCTGGCTATTCTGACCCATGTGATGTGATACTTCACTGTGGTTTTGATTTGCGTTTCTCTATTGATTAGTGATGTTGAGCATCCTTTCATGTGTTTGTTGGCAATCTGTATATCTTCTTTGTAGAAATGTCTATTTAGGTGTTCTGCCCATTTGGGGATTAGGTTGTTTTTTTTTTATATTGAGCTGCATGAGCTGCTTGTTTATTTTGGAGATTAAGCCTTTGTCAGTTGCTTCATTTGCAAATATTTTCTCCCATTCTGAGGGTTGTCTTTTAATCTTGTTTATGGTTTCCTTTGCTGTGCAAAAGCTTTTAAGTTTCATTTAGGTCCCATTTGTTTTTTTTGTTTTTATTTCCATTTCTCTAGGAGGTGCAAAAAGGATCTCGCTGTGATTTATGTCATAGAGTGTTCTGCCTATGTTTTCCTCTAAGAGTTTGATAGTGTCTGGCCTTAAATTTAGGTCTTTAATCCATTTTGATTTTATTTTTGTGTATGGTGTTAGGGAGTGTTCTAATTTCATTTTTTACATGTAGCTGTCCAGTTTTCCCAGCACCACTTATTGAAGAGGCTGTCTTTTCTCCATTGTATATTCTTGCCTCCTTTATCAAAAATAAAGTGACCATATGTGCATGGGTTTATCTCTGGACTTTCTATCCTGTTCCATTGATCTATATTTCTCTTTTTGTGCCAGTACCATACTGTCTTGATTACTGTAGCTTTGTAGTATAGTCTGAAGTCAGGGAGCCTGATTCCTCCACCTCCATTTTTCTTTCTCAAGATTGCTTTGGGTGTTCAAGGTCTTTTGTGTTTCTATACAAATTGTAAACTTTTTTCTTCTAGTTCTGTGAAAAATGCCTTTGGTAGCTTGATAGGGATTGCATTGAATCTGTAGATTGCTTTGTGTAGTATAGTCATTTTCACAATGTTGATTCTTCCAAAACAAGAACATGGTATATCTCTCCATCTGTTTGTATCATCTTTAATTTCTTTCATCAGTGTCTTATAGTTTTCTGCATAAAGGTCTTTTGTCTCCGTAGGTAGGTTTATTCCTAGGTATGTTATTCTTTTTGTTGCAATTGTAAATGGGGTTGTTTCCTTAATTTTTCTTTCAGATTTTTTGTCGTTAGTGTATAGGAATGCCAGAGATTTCTATGCATTAATTTTGTATCCTGCCACTTTACCAAATTCATTGATTAGCTCTAGTAGTTTTCTCGTAACATCTTTAGGATTTTCTATGTATAGTGTCATGTCATCTGCAAACAGTGACAGCTTTACTTCTTCTTTTCCCATTTAGATTCCTTTTATTTCTTTTTCTTCTCTGATTGCTGTGGCTAAAACTTCCAAAACTATGTTGAATAATAGCGGTGAGAGTGGGAAACCTTGTCTTGTTCCTGATCTTAGAGGAAATGGTTTCAGTTTTTCACTGTTGAGAACAATGTTGGCTGTGGGTTTGTCATATATGGCCTTTATTATATTGAGGTAGGTTCTCTCTATGCCCACTTTCTGGAGAGTTTTTATCATAAATGGGTGTTGAATTTTGTCAAAAGCTTTTTCTGCATCTATTGAGATGATCATATGATTTTTATCCAGTTTGTTAATATGGTGTATCACATTGATTGATTTGCATATATTGAAGAATCCTTGCAATCCTGGGATAAACCCCACTTGATCATGGTGTATGATCCTTTAATGTGCTGTTGGATTCTGTTTGCTAATATTTTGTTGAGGATTTTTGCATCTATGTTCACCAGTGATATTGGTCTGTAATTTTTTTGTGACATCTCTGTCTGGTTTTGGTATCAGGGTGATGGTGGTTTCATAGACTGAGTTTGGGAGCGTTCCTCCCTCTGCTATATTTTGGAAGAGTTTGAGAAGGATAGGGATTAGCTCTTCTCTAAATGATAGAATTCGTCTGTGAAGCCATCTGGTCCTAGGCTTTTGTTTGTTTGAAGATTTTTAATTAGTTTCAATTTCCATACTTGTGATTGGTCGGCTTATATTTTCTATTTCTTCCTGGTTCAGTCTCAGAAGGCTGTGCTTTTCTAAGAATTTGTCCATTTCTTCCAGGTTGTCCATTTTATTGGCATAGAGTTGTTTGCAGTTGTCTCTTAGGATGCTTTGTATCTCTGCGATGTCTGTTGTAACTTCTCCTTTTTCATTTCTAATTTTATTGATTTGAGTCCTCTCCCTCTTTTCCTTAATGAGTCTGGCTAATGGCTTATCAGTTTTGTTTATCTTCTCAAAGAACCAACTTTCAGTTTTATTGATCTTTGTCATTGCTTTCTTAATTTCTTTTTCATTTATTTCTGATCTGATCTTTATGATTTCTTTCTTTCTGCTAGCTTTGGGGTTTTTTTCTTCTTTCTCTAATTGCTTTAGGTGTAAGGTTAGGTTGTTTATTTGAGATGTTTCTTGTTTCTTGAGGTAAGATTGTATTGCTGTAAACTTCCTTCTTGGAACTGCTTTTGCTGCATCCCATAGGTTTTGGGTCATTGTGTTTTCATTGTCATTTCTTTCTAGGTATTTTTTGATTTCCTCTTTGCTTTCTTCAGTGATCTCTTGGTTATTAAGTAGTATATTGTTTAGCCTCCATGTGTTTGTATTTTTTACAGATTTTTTCCTGTAATTGATATCTAGTCTCATAACATTGTTGTCGGAAAAGATACTTGATACAATTTCAATTTTCTTAAATTTACCGAGGCTTGATTTGTGACCCAAGATATGATCTATCCTGGAGAATGTTCCATGAGCACTTGAGAAGAAAGTGTATTCTGTTGTTTTTGGATAGAATGTCCTATAGATATCAATTAAGTCTATCTGGTCTACTGTGTCTTCTAAGCTTGTGTTTCCTTATTTATTTTCATTTTGGATGATCTGTCCATTGGTGAAAGTGGGGTGTTAAAGTCCCCTACTATTATTGTGTCACTGTCGATTTTCCCTTTTATGGCTGTTAGTATTTGCCTTATGTATTGAGGTGCTCCTGTGTTGGGTGCATAAATATTTACAATTGTTATATCTTCTTCTTGGATCGATGCCTTGATCATTATGTAGTGTCCTTCTTTGTCTCTTCTAATAGTCTTTATTTTAAAGTCTATTTTGTCTGATATGAGAATTGCTACTCCAGCTCTCTTTTGATTTCCATTTGCATGGAATATCATTTTCCATACCCTCACTATCAGTCTATATGTGTCCCTAGGTCTGAAGTGGGCCTTTTGTAGACAGCATATATATGGGACTTGTTTTTGTATCCATTCAGCCAGTCTGTGTCTTTTGGTTGGAACGTTTAATCCATTTACGTTTAAGGTAATTATTGATATTTATGCTCCTATTCCCATTTTCTAAATTGTTTTGGGTTTGTTATTGTAGGTCTTTTCCTTCTCTTGTGTTTCTTGCCTAGGGAAGTTCCTTTAGCATTTGTTGTAAAGCTGGTTTGGTGGTGCTGAGTTCTCTTAACATTTGCTTGTCTGTAAAAGTTTTAAATTCTCCATCGAATCTGACTGAGATCCTTGCTGGGTAGAGTAATCTTGGTTGTATGTTTTTCCCTTTCATCACTTTCAATATGTCCTGCCACTCCCTTCTGGCTTGCAGAGTTTCTGCTGAATGATCAGCTGTTAACCTTATGGGTTTTCCCTTGTATGTTATTTGTTGCTTTTCCCTTGCTGCTTTT